ACAGAAACGCTGTCATACTTGTAGATTCAGTCATTAATACCGGAAAGTCTGTCTTGCAAATGGCGCAGCATATCCGTGAGATCAATACAGCCGTCCAGATTGCGGTAGTCGCTGGTGTGGTTCAGAAGGAGGCTGTATCTGTTCGCAGTCCGCTTCACGCTTTTGCGCGCGAGGGGAATTTCAACCTTGTTGCCCTTCGTCTCTCGGCCAACAAATACTCGGGCAGGGGCTCGACGGATACTGGAAACAGACTCTTCAGCACAGTACACTTGGCGTGATAGGGAATGGAGTGCATGGCGAGTCCCGCATTGGTGAGACGGGAATGCAATATAATGTGCTAATTTCTCTAATCGTAAAATCATGGCATTATATTGGTGACTGGCCCTTTCTGCCCGTTTCGTTCTATCATAGCGAGCCTTGGCACCACATCGAGCTATAGCTGTTCATACTGCAATCGCCCAACAGCAGCTTTCGCCGACGGCTAGAAGACAGCAGGAAGCATCATTTCAAACGGAAATGCGAAAGAAGGTTGGACTTATGTACCAGCAGCAACTGCAACGCGTAGATAGTCTGGAACAATGGCAACCCCAGCTCGTGGCCCAAAAAACGTCGGGCGGAACGCAGGGTGCGGACTCCGACCACTCTGGGCAGAGCCAAGCGGAATCCCAACAGCAAAGCCCAGCTGTCCGATCAGCGCAACATGATAGGGTGTCTGACGTGGCGCAAACAGACCATGTGGTACACGAGCCGCAGGCGAGTCAGGCTCACCATGAAGGAGAACAGAATCAGGGCAGTCAGCGAGTCCCGCATAACCGGGTGGCGGGATCGTCAGGATCCAGCCACATTCGAGTGTCCCGTCAGAATCACTATCAGAAAGACCCGGACCAAGCAATTCAGCCGACACTGAGCAATGGTACATCGCAATCGACGCAAACAAATGATGTTTCGGAAAGGATTCAGCACCAGGATTCGCAGCGTCCAGCCATAAAGCAGGAAGAAGAAAGCCAAAACGAGGAACAACAACAGCGTGCGCCCCAGCCAACTCGAGTCCGGAATAACCGGCGGACAATCACCGATCAGTGTTTAAGGCAAAGAGGGATTACCAGGAGCACCTCTGGGTTTGTGCCTCCGCGATCAGAACATGAGCGCCGGCGAAAAGTCTCTCTTTTATCGGTCCTGCCGATGATAATGGAAGCATTGCAACAGACCCGGTCTCTCTCACAGTCGAGGGTGACCAAGCAGGAATTGAATGGATCGAGGGATCCCTTGTGCGATTGCTATGGGGCTCTTTTCGCCTCCTCTTTCCCGTTTCTGATGCTGGCGACCTATATAGGTACTTGGGAATTTTCGCTTACGGCCATAATGGCGCAGGCTGGTGAGAAGATGAGACTTTACCAACAGCAGAAAACGAGCAAGTAGCACCGAGTTTCGTAGTGTTGGGGAAAGCTGTGTGCAGCTGACTAGATATAATGGGAAGTAGAGGTTGGCTCTGGATAGCAGATGGACCAATGAGACGTGTTGTATGCCTCTGAGGCTCG